GGGTCCGGGCTGGGGATTCGAACCCGCCACCTTAGGTGTACGTGGCTGGCGCCTTAGCTGGTTGAGCTATAGGTGCCGAGCCTGTAGGACTTTTTTGAAATGAAATGTCAATAAAATGTCTTAACTGTACATTTATGTACATCATTATTGTGTGATGAACCCTCATGACTCTGAGCTACAACTGACACCCGTTTATAGGTGAGAGTGGGAAATTTATAACATGTAGAGAGTTCTCAGCATTTTCTGGGTGCTACCCTGCATGGGCTGGATTCTGTCATTAACATCCTCTTAGGTACCATGCAGTCACAGGACTTGTCCAACTGAGGTCACATGGCTGGTCGATGGTAGTAAGGGCTTCTAACTGCTATGAGTCTGTTGCTTTTGCTGGGGTCCCTTCTGTAGGGGAGATTGTGCCCTGGCCCCACTGCTGAACGTGGCAGCACTGGTCCCTTGAGGTCTCCCAATCCAGAGCTCTTTGCCCTCCTGTTGAGTGCTAGCTTCTTGCATACGCAGCCCTGGGCCCACAGACGCCTCTGAATAGAAGTCTGTGGTTGACCAGTGGCTGAATTGGTGACTCATACAGGGATTTTCCTCTGAAGATGAGCTTCTTGCTCTGTTCACATTAGCAGAAACAATCAGGGGACCAGTCTTGGGCAGAGCGGTGGGATGGAAGGGAAGCTCAAGGTGGTTCCCTTGGTGGCACGCTGCTGTTCTTGGGGGCCCTGGGGGAGTGACCGTGACTGGAGGGTAGGGACTCCCTCTCTGTGAACACATCACTTTTTAAATGTGGAATTGGCTTTCAAATACAGTGGTTGAGTTCACAGTGGAAAAGAAGGCATAGCTGCCCATTGTTCTGTAAAAGGAAGAATTCCTTGGGTGTTCTTATCCCAGCCCCTCTTCCTTTTATCCAGTGATGTCTTATTGGGGGCACTTTATTGGGCCAATAGGAAGAGTGACATTTTCCAAAGTGGTGGCTCCTGTCCTGTTCTGTTCCTATAAGCTAGCCTAGAAGTTATAGCCAACTGTGGCTATTCCACAAGCTTCCTCATCTTCTAATGTGACTGGAGGGGGTTAATTCTGTGGAAACTGCACTTTCCCATTTCCTGGTGCCTGTGCCATGGGGGAGGGGGGGCTAGGGGAGTGCCTGTAGCAAGGGAGGTGCCTACCGGCCAGAATGACCCCTACTTGCCAGCAGTGGGCAGGGCAGGCAGGCCACTTGTCACTTAACTTCATTTGCCTCAATTTTTTCATCTGTAAATTAGGCATGATAACAGTGGGTAACCTACCCTCATAATCATAAATTTGGCATGATAACAGTGTCACCTAGCCTCATGAGGTCATGATGGTGATTAAATCGGTTAACAAGCACATCATATCAGTTGTTTTATCATTCACACCTACATCATGCCAGCTTTGAGTCACTAACGGGATCTCATGGGCATCACACATGACAAGATTCTAAGCACTTCCTCTTTTGCTTCTCATAATCCTTTGTTCCTCCCATTTTGTGGATTAGGAAACTGAGGCTCAGGAGGCTGGTGCACCTACTCACATTCACACCAGCAGAGCCACCTACCCACATTCACACTGGCAGAGCAGGACCTGTGTGGAGCCAGTGAGCCTCCCTCCTGGGCCATTCTCCCTATCACCTGCCTGTCAGGCTGTCTATGCCAGGCGCCTGTGCTGGCATCAGAGACGTGAGAGTTTCAAATCCTGCCCCTGTGAACTTGCAGATTTAGGGGCTGTGTGCAGTTGAATTTCTGACAAGCAAGAAATCTCTGTGAGCAGGCAAACTTGGGGTTCCCCACTTGGCAATGGGGACTGGGACTTGGAAAGGAAGGCAAAAGAGCCACAGGGAGGGTGGTGGCTAGTGGGAGGAGACTGGGCTGGAAGGAGCAGGTCCCGTCGCACACCAGTGACGGGAGCTGCAGGCAGCCTTGAGGGTAGCTCCACGTAGGAGGGCCAGTCCCACTGGAGAAGTCCCGGAAGCCAGGGCTGCATGGTCTTAGTTCAGAGTGGGGGGTTGCCGTCTCCAGTGGCTGTGTCAGTGTCTGTTGAAAAGGGCCACACCTTCAGTGCTATAGGCCCAGATGTCACCAGCCTCAGGGTTGCTCAGAGAATGTGTCACTAGGCAGCGCCTTTGGTCAGGGTCAGGTAAGAAGAGTCCAGTAAAGGGACACCCTGCAGAATGTGGGCAGAGCATAAGGGCATCACAGTGCCTATTGTTGGTACCAGCAAGCTGTCATCTCTCCCAGACACTGGTAATGCCATCACTGCATGGGGAATTACCTGTGGAAGGGGCTTCCTCCTAGGTCTGTGACCCTAGTTGAAGGGCCATAGCCAGACCAAGGAGCCCTACAGATTGGGGCTGGAGAATAGTGTCCTGACCTAGATTCTGCAGGGCTCCCAGTTGTCTGAATCCATTAAGAAGTGGGAGAACCAGGAACCACAACTCCCCCCCATCCCCCGGCTTTGAGTCCATGTAGACAGCTGGGTCGCAGGGTGGGGAGAGCAGTGTGGGAAACAAGAGGGGAACTGGGTGGGGGAGCAGATGAAGTCTCAGCTGCAAATGTGGCTCTGGCAGCCCTTTCCACAAGCAAAGTAAACGAAGCAAGTGTTACCATCCCTGCCACCCTGCCGCTGTTAGGCTGGCCCAGTCAGTGCCCTGCTGGCCAAAGCTGAGCACTTTAGGAGGGAAAGGGTCAGGGTCTTCATGCTGAGTCTAAGGCACCAGGGCCCACTGCAGCCCCCTGCCCCCCACCCTTTGAGACAGAGGGGGTAGGGGGAGCAGTTTGACTTTAAACTTCCAGAAAGTCCACAGGGTGTGTGGCTGCTACCTTGGCGGGAAACCCTGGAGCCTCAGTGTGTTCTTTTAACATAATAACTGCATCTTATCTGTATTCCTCATCCCTTCGAAAATATTTATTTTGAGTTTGACATTTTTGCTTATTCTGCACAATTCCAACAGCAGAAGGCCGAACACTGCAGGTCCCTGGAGGTGCAATGGGCCGTCCCTCTTCCCTCCGGGGTCAGGATGGGGGAATTGGCTCTGTGGGTGGCAGGCGTGGTTCCATCCCTGGCCCTGGGGTGGCCCTTGCAAGCCTTGGGTCAGTGGAGGCCTGTCTAGTGTTCTGTGGGATAGAAGTGATGGGGGTTGGTGGCGCTGGTGAGGGACTTGCTCCAAAATGTCCCCTGGGCCCTCTGCTGGCAGGGCTTTGACCTGTGACTCACTTGGGTGTGTTTTCAGATGTGGGGTGAGTGCGTGGAGACACAGAGGAGGGGGCCTGTCGGCAGCAGAGCCTCTGACCACCACAGAGGCCTCAGCAGGCTCAGTGCCAGGCCCTGCAGAGGGCAGAGGGTGTAGGGTCACCTGGCTCGGGCTCAGACATGAGTTTTTCTAAATTGAAAAACTTAATTTCCTTTCATTATAGCCTCTTCTTCTCAAGTCTTTGTTTCTGTGAATCTCTCTTTTTGTTGAATCTCTATCTGTACATATCTTTCTTGTTCTACACACATCATGAAGTGGTCCTACACCTCAGGGCTTCAGTGTCCCCAGCCCCACTGAGCAGAAGTGCCGCAGCTATCTAGCTACAATTGGCTTTTAAATGCTTTTCTTGGCTTAATTTCTAACTCTGCCCTGCACTTTGCCTTCCTGCATTGTTGTGGGCTTGGGGAAGGAGGGTCTGAGTCAGCCTCTCTTGGCCTCAGCTGGTGTCAGTCCCATAGGGTGACACCCAAACAGGCCAGCAGGTGCCCAGCATGTGAGTGCCCACAACATATCTTCCATCCTTGGTGTCCCCAGCTGTCATGAGGAGTCAGGGAGGGAGATGTCCGCCTTGGTCTGTGCTGCACTCTCCTGGAGGCAGTGAGGAGGGTGGGAGAGTTCTGGTCCCAGAGAGAGTTTGTTGATAATCTTAAAGTCTGCGTAAACTCTTTGCGGTTGGCAGAAACCTAGCCTATGCTTTGACAAACACATTTTGCCCTCAATGTTCACGCTGACGTATATTTTAAGGGAAATATAATCTGCAGCTTCTTCAAGTGTTTACTTAATTTGAACATTGTTTTCTTAGAGGCCTGGTATATGCTCTCCAAGAAGACTGAAAATTTTTTTTAACGCTGTTTCTTAGAACCCAGGAAGTTGAGTTCTTCCAAGAGTAACTAAGCTAAGCTTAAACTTAAGACAAAAAAAAAAAAAAAAAAAAAAGTGAATTGGCTTGAAACTACCCAGGAGATCCTAAATCCCCGTCTGCCTGATCCCAGACATCTAAATGAAATTTTAAAATTCTATCAAAATGCTTAATGTATCAAGTACCTCCCCCAAATGTGTGGATGTTTAAATTAATCAGTTCTCCCATCTTTAAAATGGCTTTGTTCTCACATTCTTTTGATTTTGTTGATTTTCTGGTCCCCAAATCCCTCTCAGATCTGGTTGGCCTTTGGCATGGCCAGGTTCTGTATCCATGGGTTCTACCCACTGTAGATGGAAGATACTCAGGGAGAAAAAATTCCACAAAGTTCCAAACAGCAAAATTTGAATTTGCTGCTCACTGAGCACTATGGCAGATCCCCCAGGTTGAAGTGATGTGTGTATCCGGGGTGATAAGCAATCCAGACATGACTTAAGAGTATTCAGAAGGACGTGTGCAGGGTATGTGAAAACTCTATGCCACAGAGACTTCAGCATCTGTGGATCTGGTGTCTTCTGTGGGTCCTGGACCCAGTCCCCCATGGCTGCTGAGGACAACTGTATACACAGCTTCACTTTGCTAAGGAAGTTGCGTCTGAGTGGAAACATTCTTACCTGCAGATGACCCTGAGGGCTTTTCCAAGGCTGTTAAGTCACAGCTGGGACATGAACATTGGTCTCGAAGGTGGGAAATAAGTCAGGGCCTTAGCAGCCAGGGGGTCACTTGGGTGCCAGCTACCCAGACTTTCAGGCCTCAGCCCTGGCACATTTGGCCTTGTCAGCCATTTCCATCAAGCATCTGGTTTCTAGCTTAGGGGCCCCGAGAGAGTGACAGTGACAGCTGCCCTGCACAAGTGTGTGCCATTTGCTCTCCCAACTGCTCCTCTTCCCCACAGGCCCCAGTTAGACCCCTCCGAGCTCCTCAGCACCCACCTGCTGTCCACCGGGGGTGCTAAGCCCTGGTGCCACTCAGCCAAGTGTCTGTGCTGCTGGGCTGGGAGCTCCCTTTGAAGGCAGGACTGTGTCTTACTCATCTCTCTGTCAGTGCCCCAGGGCTGCTGTGCCTTGAAACAAATGAAGTTACCCCTGCACAGTTCTAGAGGCCAGAAGCCCTCAGTTATGTCCCTGGGCCACAGCTAAGGTGTCAGCAGGGCTACGCTCCCTTGGAAACTGGAGGGAACAGTCAGTTCCTGGCCTCTTCCTTGGCAATGGCCACACCAGTCCCTGCCTCCACCTTCAAATCTCCCCGTCTCTTCTCTCACAAAGACATTCGTGATTGCATTTGAGGCCCAGCTGGGTAATTAAGGATAATCTTGCCCAATCAAGAGCCGCAGCTTAGTCACATCTGCTAGGGAGGTAACATTGACCTGACATCTTTGGGGGCTGTTATTCCACCTATCACAGTATCTTTCCCCAGACCTAAGAAAAAGCCAGCATCCCCTGGGTGGCTGCCACTGCCTCTCAGTCTGCGTGTCACCTGGTGACGTAGGGCATGAGGCAAGGAGGGACTTGGCACCCTTGGCCCCTCTGCTCCCTGCTTCGGTGATGTTGGGTGTGTTGAACCCACCAGCTGAACAGGTGGAAGGAGACTAAAAGGTGATGGTGAAGGAGGAGCAGGAGGGAGAGGGTGGGAGGTGGGGCAGAGGGCTCGGGGCTTGCTCCTGACCCCCCACACCTCCCGAGAATCTCCCTGACGGAAGTCCTTTAACGAGGACTGGTCATCAGGCTCATCTCCCTCCCTCTGCCTTCTCCCCTTTCCAAGAGTTCAGTGCTGGTGTCTCTGCTGTGCTCACACACTGCCCCCCCCCCCCGCACCCCACAGGGCACGAAAGCTATGTGACCTTCTGCCAGCTGGAGGACGAAGCTGCCTTCACATGCAGTGCGGACTGTACCATCAGGAGATGGGACGTGCTGACCGGGCAGTGTCTGCAGGTGTACCGAGGACACACGTCCATTGTGAACAGGTCGGCCTAGGTCCCTGGGAGACAGAGATGTGGGGCTCCTGCCCTGGAAGACCTTAGGTTCTTGGGGAGGTCAAAACATGGACACTTGAGGAGGTGTCCTAGCACACAGCCAAGGAAGACGGCAGAGTGCCCACTGCCCAGATACAGGTGGGATGGGGGTTGGGTGGGGCACGGGCTGGGACACCCAGCTGGGTCTGGGGGCTTCCCACTGGAGGCACAATTGCCCCTGCCAGGGGCAGGCAGAGGCACTGGTGCCCATAGCTCCTTCTGGTGGGACATATCCCAGAGGAACCTGCTGGATGGACACCAGGCTGTAGACCCAGGTGCTTGGAGGGGATGGGAGGGGTTGTTCCAAAGAAGGAGTAGAGGATGTTTTTAAACCTCTTTTTTCTGTGGGGCTGTTGGAAATACCCCACCCCCTTCTTTCCAAGAAGGTTCTAACTTTTCTTTTCCTTATTGAATTTGAGTCTAAGCTGAGCAATGGAAACTTCTTTGCTGATCAGATTAGTTTGACAGTTTTTTGGGGGGTGGGGAGGAGACAGAGTCTCACTCTGTTGCCCTTGGTAGAGTGCTGTGGCATCATAGCTCATAGCAACCTCAAACTCACTGGGCTTAAGCCATTCTCTTGCATCAGCCTCTTGAATAGCTGGGACTACAGGCAGCCGCCACAATGCCTGGCTATTTTTAGAGACAGGCTGGCTTGGGCTGGTCTCTAATCAATGAGCTGAGGCAATCCACCCGCCTCCATCTCCCAAATGCTAGGATTATAGGTGTGAGCCACTGCGCCTGGCCCAGTTTGACAGTTTTATATAACTTGTGCTGGTCACCTCAGACTCCTGAGGAAATGTCTGCTGCAGGGGGCATCGGGGCCCCCTTGTAGGTTCATTCACAGGAGGGCGCTGCCTGGGAGGCTGATCCCAGAAAGGGAAGGGCCATGTGGCACTTGGAGAGCAGAGAGGAAAAGATATGCCCCTCTGGAAGGGACGCTGCCATGCAAGCTTTGATGGGACTGACCGGCTTCATGGGCTGATGGGTGGAAAAGGTGGGCTGGACTCCTCATCCCAACGCCCTGGAGGAGCAGGTGCTGCAGCCGGGACAGTTAACCAACAGGCCAAGAAACATACTCATGTCTCTAGGGAGAAAAACACAAAAACCTACAGATTCAGTGAGTGGAATCTGGAGGTACCAAGCAGAGAGCCAGGTCTTTGTCCCCCACGGCCACAGGAGTACCTGCCTGCAGGCTGACAAGGTGGTAGAGAAGGGGCTAGGGAAGGCCACAAGGCTCAGGGCTCCACTGGCCTCGTCCTGCCAGCCGCTTTACCCTTCCTCCACTTCTCTCACACGCCTGCAGAGAGATACACATACACACAAACACAGTCACACATGTGCACATGCCACATACACACACACTCAATCTGTATACATATTCATTATTTTCTACTGGTGGCTGTTCTAGGCCCATAGATCTGGGCAGACATTTGCATGACTAAGTAACTATGATCACAAATGTGTGGGACCCCAGGAGGCTGTGAAACTCACTTCTCCCAGTGCTTTCAGAGCTGGGCCGGGTGTGCTGTCGCTCCAGGGTCTGGCCTTCCTGCCTTTTCATGCCAGGCCACACTCAGGCAGGACCCTCCCTCCTCCAGGCCCCATGGCCTCCCCATCCTGCACCATTCCCAGCAAGAGTTACTTTCCTTTAAAAATACTTATCTCGTGGAAATTTGGGTGTCAGAGAAGAAGCTGGTCAGAAGAGAGAGTTGGTATTTTAGTGACATCTGTGTCATCAGGTGACTTGCAGGAAATGAGGATGACTGTCTGAGGACCCTGCAGAGGTGAGAGGCAGCAGGCTTGTCCCTTGTCCACACTGGGCTCTGGCAAGGTCTCCTAAGAGGGAGCCACCAGGCCGGCCATGGTCCTGATCCCCCCACTGGCACTGATGCCTGGGCCTCAGCCATCTGTGGCCTCCCCTCCTGAGGGCACAGAGCTTCTTGATGAGAGTGTGTGAACATGGCTCGGTGCATGTAGCTCAGCAGCTAGGGCACCAGCCGCATACACCAGAGCTGATGGGTTTGAACCCAGCCTGCGACTGGCAAACAATGATAACTACAACTAAAAAATAGCCAGGTGTGGTGGCAGGCACCTGTAGTCCCAGCTACTTGGGAGGCTGAGGCAAGAGAATCACTTAAGCCCAAGAGTTTGAGGTTGCTGTGAGCTGTGATGCCACGGCACCGTACATGGGGGTGGGACTCTGTCTCAAAAAATAAAAGAATGTGTGAACAGGCCCTGGGTTGTGTTTCCCTGGGGAGAAGTTCTTAGCTTTCATAAAATGAGTGTAAGAGTTGTGAATATTGGCTTGGTGCCTGTGGCTCAAGCGGCTGGGGCGCCAGCCACATACACCTAAGGTGGCGGGTTCGAATCCCCAGCCCGGGCCCGCCAAACAACAATGATGGCTGCAACCAAAAAATGGCCAAGTGTTGTGGCGGGCGCCTGTAGTCCCAGCTACTTGGGAGGCTAAGGCAGGAGACTCGCTTGAGCCCAGGAGTTGGAGGTTGCTGTGAGCGTGATGCCATGGCACTCTACCCAGGGGGATAGCTTGAGGCTCCGTCTCAAAAAAAAAAAAGAGTTGTGAATATTCACTGTGAAGAAGCCTTGGTCCCCCAGGGTTGGCAAATTCCACTGAATGGACAGACCCTCTTTGCTCCCCTAGCCTGAATTCTTGGGGGTCCTTGGGCGCAGTTGTGTGCCTGAACCCCATTAGGGCTAAAACCCTGATGGTGACTGGAGCTAGAGTGTCACCCACAAATGTCAGCCCATGAGGGGTTCGTTGTGAGATTTGACAGCAAGCAACCTCCCCACACCTGCTGTGACTTCATCCCCAACTGTGCCCCCAGAAGTCACCGTGGGCACCTCTGGGCATTCCTCATGCCTCTACCTCTTAGGGCTCTCTTTGAATCTGCCCTGTTCCCTTTGCCCTGGACTTTCCCTTTTTAGCCTGAAAGCCCTGAGCACTCCCACCCAGGCTCCCCACTGCTGACCCCTCCTTCCATGCTGTTCATGGAGCAGTAGCTGTGGTAGAGTGTGGGAAGGATTGACTGTCTGAGCTGGTCCCTCTGTAGGTACAGGCCGGATGAAGAGGGTAAGTATGGGGGGCTGGGGTAACTTCCTGGATCCGGAGGTCATTTCAGTTGGACTTTAGAAGGTGAGAGTGGTGACCAGAAGAAGAAAGGACAAGCTATTCCAACTATGGTAGGGAGTTCCAGCTCCCTACTCATAGGGAGGCCACATGGGGTCTGGAAGCCCCTGTGTTCTGACCCCTGACGCTTCCCCTCTTGCATCCAGGATCCTGGTTGCCAACAACCAGCTCTTCAGCAGCTCCTATGACCGGACTGCTCGTGTCTGGAGCGTGGAGAAGGAGCAGATGTCCCGGGAGTTCCGAGGCCACCGTAACTGCGTGCTAACTCTAGCCTACTCTGCGCCCTGGGAACTCCCTGGTGCTCCCTGCTCAGAGGACGCTGTGGCTGGGGGCCTCCTGGTGACAGGCAGCACAGATGGCACGGCCAAGGTGTGGCAGGTGGCCAGTGGCTGCTGCCACCAGACGCTGCGGGGCCATACAGGTGCAGTGCTGTGCCTTGTGTTGGACACACCCAGCCACACAGCCTTCACGGGCAGCACTGATGCCACCGTCCGCACCTGGGACATCCTGAGTGGGGAGCAGCTTCGGGTGTTCCGGGAGCACCAGGGCTCCGTCATCTGTCTGGAGGTGAGAGTGCCCTGGCTGCCACCCAGCTTCCAGGGGAGTCCCAGGTCATCCTCTGAGCTGCCACCCTGCCCAGTGTATTAGTTAGGTCTGCTGTGTAACAAAGCACCACAGAGTGGGGCCCTGAACAACAGACACTGATGGTCTCCTAGTCCTACCGGCTGGAAGCACAAGATCAGGATGTCTGGCAGGATCGGTCCCTCCTGAGGCCTCTCTCCTGGGCTTGAGGATGGCCATCTTCTCCCTGTGTCCTCACATTGTCGTCCCTCTGTGTGTATCTGTGTCCTAATTGCTTTTTATAAGGACATGACTCAGATTGGATTAGGCCTTCCCAAGTGATCTTATTGTAACTTTAATGCCCCTTTAAGACCCTATGTCAACTAAAGTCAGATTCATAAGTATGGAGAGTGGGGCTAACACAGTTCAGCCCCCCACACCCGGCTTCTGGCTCTGCAGGGCAGGGCCAGACCCTCCTGAGGAGCCCAGGGCAGGTGTTGGCTGTTCTCCTGTGTTGGTCTTTGCACTGCTGAGGACTGGCAGCTTCCTGGACTCTGTCTTCAGGCCTAGGGTCTGGAAAGTGTCCCCACCTTGGGATTTATTCAGCATGTGGCTCTGTAGTAGAATGGCCCTGTGGGAGGTGGGGCTGCTGCCCTGGCACCACCACCTTACTTTCCTCAGGTGTATGGTGAGGATTACACACCCACAACCCCCTCTCCAGAATGCCTAAATCTAAAAACGTTCCAAAACATAAAACGTTTTTTTCTTAAGTGTGGCACCAAAACTCCTTTGCACTGAGCAGGTAGGAGACTGTTTGTAGTTTGATTTTCTCGCCTCACAGGAACTCTCATACCTGTACTGTGGACACATGAATGTGTTTGTAAAATCTAAAACATCCTGAAACACACCAGCCCCAGGGTTTTGGATTAGGGATTGTGCTTACGAAATTGCCCCCATCAGAGGTTTGTGAGGATTTGGTGACTTGGTGGAAGATGGATGGGCCTTCACGAGCATTGCGGTCTTTGCTGCAGTTGTTATTAAGGATCTAGTGGGTGTGCCTGGCTGGGGTCCCTGCCAGGCATGTTAGGATCTGAGTGTCCCTGGCTTGGACCCAGGCCAGCTCCCACATTGCAGCTCAAAGGGTGGGACACATTGCTTGGCAGCCTGATGTTCTGGGCAGTGAGGCCACAGGCAAAGCAAAGGGGCGGGCTCTGGGCAACAGGGGCTGAGTGTGGGGCCGTCTCGAGCGGGTACCCTGGCACTGGTTTTCCTGTGCTGCGTCCACTGGAGGCCCTGTGTGGGATTCTGGGGCTAAAGGCAGCTCTGGGGCTCCAGGACCAGTAGGGTAGGGAAGGGCTTTTTTTGTCTTGCCGGGTGACCTCTGGCCCCTTTGTGAGCCCAGGAGCACCAGAGCCTGGTGGTGCTGAGTGGGCTACACATATCCCATTGTTCCATCTCAAGTCCTGCTGGGGGACTCAGGGACTGGCAAGGCGGGAGCTGGGTAGGCCTGGTCTCTAATCCCAGCATCATTGGTCACACTCCCAGAGAGGCAGATGTCCCTTCTGCCCTCTGAAGGTCTCCAGTTGGGCCTGAAATCTGAGTCCATGTGAAGCAGATTAACAAGAGAAAAGCATTTACATTTTTCCACCCATAGGGGCCATCACAGGAGAACCAGCACCAGTGTAGGTGGACAAAGAGTAAATTGTGGATGTGTGACAAGACAAAGGAGCCCGGCTGGGGCAGTCAGCTAGAGAAGGGACTCCTGGGTCAGGGTCAGTTTAATGGGCCTGTCTGTGCAGTCGTCCCTCACCCTCAGCAGCTCCCTGTCTCTGCTGAGAACGTCTCTGCTTCTTTCCTCCTGGGACAGGGAATTTGTCTCCTGCTTCAGGAAAAGAAGGTCAGAGAACACTTCCTGGTCTGTTGTTTTCCATGTGCCTTGAACTCATGATAGTGTGTGCCAAGAGGCAGGTTTCAGGGGATACATGCCCCGGGCCTCAGTGTCCTCATCTGTAAGGTGCTGGTGCTGACAGCCCTCCCCATCTCCCAAAGTCCCTGCAAAGGGCATAGGCAGTGCTGGGGATTTCAAGGGCCTCCTTCTTTCCATGGAGTCCTGCGGGGGGCAGGGTGCTCCATGGGCAGCAGGGATAGGGAGACCCTTATAAAGAGACATAGGGAGATCCCTATGTCTCTGCTCTGTGCTGGCCTAGTGACGGGGGTGGGGGGGCGGCAGTGGCACACATCCTGGGGGGAGCCCATAACCCCCTCACATCGCTGAGTCAGAAAGGAACCACCACAGGAGACAGGGAGCAGGTCCTATGGGGAGGTGGAAGCAGATGCGTGAAGGGAAGGAAGGTGCCTTCCCTCATGATGGTTGGGTCTGCCCCAGGTGTTAAACCATTAGAGAAATGCTGGGCTGGGCTGGGTGCCGGTCAAGGTGTCTGACGAGGCTGGGTGCCCTTGCAGGGTTACTGTGTGGGTGTCAGTGCTGCGCATCCAGCAGAGCGGGGCCTGAGGGTCCTGGCACAGCTGAGAAGGCTAAAGGAGAGGTCGGAGGAGGACGTGCACCGACCTCATGTGTGGATGTGGACACACACGCATGGGTACACCCCACACCTCTGCCTGTGTGTGCACACATCACGTGCTCATAGCTATGTGCATGCATGCACACATGTTGACCCTCTGAAGAGGAAGTACCCAGGAGGGCAGGGGCTCTGCTGTGTGCCCATGTGTTTTTCTTCCCTTTGAAATCAACCACAGAGCAAATTTAATGGGAAGAGCAGGGGGTTGGAGAGGAGAGGGAGGTGCTGGTGGGAACAGGACAGGGTGTCGGGGGCAGGGCAGAGACTGAGGAATGAGGCTCTGGGGAAAGGCGAGGCTGCCATGAGGAGCGAGCCCCGCACCCCCAGTTCTGGGAGGTGAGGTCACCCTTGTGGAGGCCTTTCGATTTGGCGAGGTGGGAAGAGGCACAAACAGGAGGGCAAGGAAGGATGCAGCAGACGCCTGGTGGCTGCCTAGGGAGGTATCTGGGTGGACAGTGGCATCGGAGCCTTACCTCTGGTGGTGGTCAGAGAGCAGAAGTCTGTCTCCTGCACTAGATCTGGGGTGAGGCCAGGGTGGACATATGTATCCACCGGACATAGTGGAGCTGTGGGTGGCTGGGAGAGGCAAGGGCAAGGCCAACCCCTAGGGTGGGCAGTATGTGCTCTCAGGTGGGGTTCTTTTGTGTGTGGGTGCTCAGTGCGGGGTGCTTCTGGGTAGCGTTCTCAGTCTAAGATGATCTTATGTGAGGATGCTCCCAGGAGGGTGCCCCCTGCCGTAAACCCTAAGTTCCAGGATGGAGTCTAGTCAGGGAGAGAGGCTCCTGTTCCCTGACAGGGGCTGGGTGCTGGTCAGGGTGTCTGAGGAGCCTGGAGTGGGGAAGCCCATGAGGACAGGATCTTGCTGGCCAGCTTGGTGGGCACCTGGTCAGAAGAGGGAGAGGAGGCCCAGGCCTGGCCGTGGAGCCGCAGGCTGCAGCATGTGGCTGAACCCTGGGTCAGAGTTAGGGCAGCTGGGAGGTCCATTCTGAAGGAACACATTGGTTCACATGTCATCTTGGGCTCAGGACTGGCAGGGAGCTGTCGCTGGCACTGTGCCCTAAACTGGGTGTCTGACGGGTTCAGCAGCACAAAGGCTGTGCAGGCTTCTGCGTAAAGAGCAGCTGGCACCACATTCAGCACACGGCAGGGTATTTGGTTCATTGGTTGTTCAGTTAATTAGTTAACTGTTAAGTGACACCTATTTCACTCAATCGCTGGATCAATTAGGGAAGCCTCTATCACACAGACTGGTTGGGGGTAGGGAGTGTCAGCCTCATGGCAGGGTGGCAGGGCCCAAGGAGGAGGAGTTTCCCTGCACTTTGGATTCTAGATTCTAGGTAGAATCTAGGGTTTCTTTATTTTGTTTCCTGGCATTTCTCTAATTTAGCACCTTCATTTTAACCCCTTGGGAAATGTGATTGTGTCTGGCCTTGCCCTCTTCTAAGGTCCCCTTTCTCCCTACCACATGGGGATGGTGCCTCTTCCCACCTCTGCTGATCCACCTCTGGAGAATGCTGTGGACCCAGGACCGGAGGTTGGAGAAGCAGGATCAGCAGCTAGTCACTGAGGGCTTGGGACCACATGACCCCCCAAAGGATGACTTGCCACCAATCCGAAAATTGGAGTTTTGCTATCTTACAAGCTGGATTTGAGCAGAGTGATGGGAAATTTCTCACACTGTCCTCATCATCACAGAGGGACAGGAAGCCCCGGGGAGTGAGGGCAGTAGGCCGGCCCTACTGGTGGATCTGGGAAGCAGGACTTCTGGGGCCAGGGGTCCCCACTCCCTTCTGCCCCTGCCCCCCACAGGGTAGAGGCATCTGTTCCCTTTCTTCTGCCCTCTTGTTGGCGATCACCACCAGAGTCAGGTTGTCTAGAAGTGCAACTTGCTGATTTTTGTTACCAAGTCAGCTGGGATATCCAAAGGATCAACTGTGACTTTTCTGAAGTCCATTTAAACAATACTTTTTTTGAGACAGAGTCTCACTTCCCTAGCCCCTAACACCCACCGTTCTACCCCCATCTCTGTGAATTTGAGCCTCTAGGCCTAGGAGTGGAACCAACCAGTAATTGTCTTTTTGTGTCTGGCTTATTTCACCAAGCACATTGGCCTCAGGGTTCTTCACAGTATAGCTCACACAGGATTTCTTTCCTTTATGGCTAATTAATATTCCATCAGCTGTAGAGAGTATATTTCGCTTACCAATCACTGGAGGATGGATGGGCTGCTTCCATCTGCCAGCTGTTATGGGTGGTCTGCCAGCATCCAGCACAACCTGCCTCAGTCCTCACAGGGAGGGACCTGGGAGGGTAACTGCTGAGTCACTCCGTAATCCTTTGTGCAGCTTTTAAAGGAATGTCAGAACTAAAGGACCCTTAAGCTGGGTGTAGAGGAAAGGTCCTCTCGACCCCACATTCAGGATACTGCTGGGACCCAGAGCACTGAGCCTTTGTGATTGGGAGTCCCTGTGTGCTACCTATGCCCAGGATAGAAAGAAAAGATGAGCTGGGCTAGTTGGAGCCCTGTTGGTTGGGATTTGATAGAGACATAATAAGGGGGAATTGAGTTGGCCATGGGAACTGAAGTGGAAAGTGGCCCCGAGTTTGGCTGTGATGGGCAGGTTAGGAGGGAGGAGTTCAGGATGCCGGTAGCCAGTAGGGACTGACCCTGGGCTGTTGCCTGCTGTCTGTAAGAGAAAAGCCCTGTGTGCCTCATCTCCCAAATCCTGGGTCCTGGGCCCCCAGCAGTGGTCCTCTGGTGGCCTCTTGGAGATTACAGACTGCTGCTGTCTCCTGTGCCACTGCACCAGGTCACTGCACTGAGGAGCCTGCCCGTCCCTGGCTTTGCTGACCAGAAGTGCTGGCTGGGAATACTCTTGACAGGGTAGTATTTAGTCTGGGGCTGGTACTCATGTTCATCTTGGCGAGGGCCCCCGTCCTTACCTCCTATGAAATGGAGAAGCTTCAGTGGCTGGGGAGAGCCTGTGTGCAGAGCCCCTGGTGGCCAGCTGCAGCCCAGCAGAAGCCCGCCTCCCACTCTCCCCAGACATTCTCTCTCCGGTCTGTTCTTCTGCAAGCAGAAGCCTGTGCAGAAGCTTATTTCCTGGACCCCTTTTCACAACCAGTCAGTAGAAGTGAATGATGGAGGTTGTTCACGCTGTATCTGCAACCCTTTTGTGCACTGGAGGAAGGGGCTGTCAATGTCCTCCACGGGCGCAGCAGCAGAGGGGCAGAGAGCCAGAGTCTCGGCCAGGACAAAGTGAGGACTGGTGGCCGGTCTGCTGGGCAGCCCACTTGCCCCCTGACCTCGAGGAAAGGAGGTGTTGCCTGTTTGGGGGTGCTGATGAGTGATTGGGTGGGCCCTGGGGCAGGGTCACTCTGGCTCATCCCCAATTTAACCCCTGATACCGGCATGTGCACTTGCACCTGTTACAGAGATAGGTCTGGGGACTTCCGAGCCACCCGTGCTGCAGGCCTGCAGTGCCCTGAGGTGGGCCAACCCTCCTTGTCCCTCCTCCCAGCTCGTGAACCGGCTCATTTACTCGGGCAGTGCGGACAGGACTGTCAAGTGCTGGCTGGCAGATACAGGGGAGCACGTGTGCACATTCGCGGCCCACAGACACAGTGTGAGCACCCTCAAGTACCATGCGGGCACCTGTAAGTGACCTGTCCCAGCACTGCCCTCTCTGCTCTGGCCTGCTCACCTTGCCACCACCACTCCCACCCATATCCTGGCTCTAACTCTCCACCTCCTTACTGTCCACTGCTTTTCCCCCAACGAGCCTCTGCTGCCATTTGGGATTTGCAGCTGCTGTTCCCAATGGCGGCAGCTGTTCCTTCTCCATGAACCTTCTCCTCTAGCGCTTTTCCAAAGAAGGTCCAAGTAAGGGTTTGCCCCTTCCCCCCCAAAAAAATACTTACTCTGGCTCGGCGCCTGTGGCTCAAGTGGCTAAGATGCCAGCCGCATACACCTGAGCTGGCAGGTTCAAATCTAGCCTGGGCCCGCCAAACAACAATGATGGCTGCAACCAAAAAAAAAAAAAAAAAAAAAGCCAGGCATTGTGGCAGGTGCCTGTGGTCCCAGCTACTTGGGAGGCGGAGGTAGGAGATCGCTTGAGCCCAGGAGTTGGAGCTTTCTGTGAGCTGTGATGCCACTGCACTCTACCCAGAGTGACAGCTTGAGGCTCTGTCTAAAAAAAGTACTCTAAAAGAACATGACAAGACCTGAGTGTTTGGAGGCTATAGGGTCAAAAGCACATATCAAAGATTCATTCTGATATTCCAGGTGAGACAGTAACACCCACTTAATCCAGCCAGACTTGAGGACTTGGCTTCAGTTGGCCCTTGGTTTGACTACAGATGAGAAATATCCATGTAACAGTGGTTTAAATGAGTAGTGGTTTATTTTTCTCTCAGGTAGAAGGATGTCAGAGGCTGGCAGTCTAAGCAGGAATAGGTGGCTCTACAAGGTCATGAGGAGCCCAGATTCCTTCTGTGATTTTGCTTCATCATCCCCAGCACATATCTTCTACCTTTAAAAGAGCCTCATGGTTCAAGACAGCTGCTGGAACTCCAGCCATCTTTTCATGTTTTAAGCCGGCAGGAAGAAAAGGAGGAAAGGACAAAAGAATGCATCGTCTGGTTGATTTGGCCCCTTTAAGGTCTTTCCTGGAAGCCTCACTCCACGGCTTCTGCATACCTCTCTGACCACTCTGTCTGCAAGAGAGACTGAATCATCAAGTCTTTTACCTGAGGACATTGCCACCAAGACTGAGTCAGAGTTATTTTGGAAAGAAAAAGTGACTTGTTGGGCAGGCAACAGGCTGATCTCAAATTGTAACACACCTGGGCCTTGCCAGCTCCGTGTGGCTTGCTCAACTCATTTACACACCAGACAGCCAGAAAACAGATGTAGGGGGAACAACTCCCAACCTCACCATACTCCTCAGGATTGTGGCTCTCAGGTTTCTTTTTCCAGAACTTTCCCCAACTTCATGCTGTGCCATTGCCCCTCCCTTCCCCCTCTATTTGAGCTCCCAGGTAGCTGGGCCTCAGGGTGTGTCCCTACCCCTGGGAGGGAGGAGACAGGATGACAAGATTCACAGCTATGGTAGATGGAGATAGAATATGGAGTTCTGAAAACAGAGCCTGGCGTGCCCTCGAGGTTTAGCATCTGACACAGGGCGGTTAGTTTTCTTCCTTCCTTCCTGCAAGCAACCTTGCAAGTGTGATTAGGATGCTGTCCATATGGGACCTCTAATTGAACATGAACAGTCCACTCTCAGGCTCCTGATGGCAGCTGCCTAGAGCGCCTCTCCTGGCAGCAGCTGGCACTGCACCTGCAGCTGAACAGAGTCTCCTTGGTCTTTGCCAACTAGGGCCATGTCCACCTCTGAGTTTTCCAGGGAAAGGCAACAAAAGAGCTTGAGAGATTCAGAAATGACACTTCCCTTTCAGGGCTACAGTCACCCTGCAGTTTTAACAGAAAGGCTAGGAATAGGCAAGGAAGGAGGGAAGTGGAGTAAGGAATAAATACTGGAGGCCAGGGAGGTACAGCCGGAGGGAGGTTGGGGGCTCACGCTGCATGCGCCTTTGAGCCCTGGGTTGCTTCTGCAAGGGGCGGTTCAATGCTCCCAGTGGTGCTGGGGCTCTCTTACTGATGGCTAGTGGGAGTTGATGGGTAAGTAGCCCCATCACTGTCTTCCAGATGGGCTGCACCTTCTCCCCAGGGCCCCCAGCAGGTTTGTGTCCAGCTGCCCACATTGGTTACCTGTTCATTAACAGTAGTTACCCCGACCCCCACCCCATGGCTTCCTTCCTCCCCATCCTCTCCCTGTTCCCTTGCCCTCCAGGTGCTTCCTGGACTGCCCACCTCAGGTGAGCATTCTCAGGTTAGTTCCCTGACCAGCAGCAGTAGCTCACCTCTAACCGGTTAGAAATGCAAATTCTCAGGGCAGTACCTGTGGCTCAGTGGGTAGGGCACTGGCCCCATATACCAAGGGTGGTGGGTTCAAACCCAGCACCAGCAAGAAAACTGCAAGAAAAAAATAGCTGGGTGTTGTGGTGGGGGCCTGTAGTCCCAGCTACTTGGGAGGCTGAGGCAAGAGAATCGCCTAAGCCCAGGAGTTGGAGGTGGCTGTGAGCTGTGTGATGCCAGGGCACTCTACCAAGGGCAATAAAGTGAGACTCTGTCTCTATAAAAAAAGAAAAAGAAATGCAGATTCACAGGGCTCACCTGGTAAACTAGAGACTCTGGGTCATGGCCCAGCAATCTGTGTCCCAGTGAACCCTCCAGGTGCCTGCTGAGAGCAAAAGCTGGCAAACTCTTAGGAAAAGCCCCAAGAGAGGCAGAGCCTGGAGGGGGCCGACAGGGTGTCCTGACAGGGTGTCCTGTTAGGGGTTCACGGGGTGGGCCTGGGTTTTGTTTCCAGAGCCAAGTCTATCTCAGGAGGAGGCCTGCTCAGGCGGTGGGGGGAGGGGAAGGCCCTCCAAGACAAACCGGTTACCCCACGCAGAGAAGCAGCTCATCAAAGAGGGCATGAGAGTGGGTTCCTGGGCCTGAAAGGTATCCAGGAGGGACAGCTGAAGGTGGAAGGCATGGCTGCCTGAATGGCTATCTGCAGACTTCGGTATTCTGACCCCGCAGGATGTGGCAAGGTAACGAAGGTGACCCTGGTTCTTTTCAGGGCACTACTTGTCTACTTCCCATTGAGTCTTAGGCCTCTCCGGTGAGACGAGGGGACGAGGAAACCAAGAGTCCTGGGGGTGCCCGGGGTCGCGCCGCTCTTGCGGCCTTCCCTGTCCCCCGGGAGAAAGCAGGGGCGGGCTGGGAACTTGCAGCAAACCCCCTGTGTATCCGCAGTGTTCACGGGCAGCGGGGACGCCTGCGCCCGCGCCTTCGACGCGCAGTCAGGACAGCTGCAGAGGGTGTTCCGGGGCCACGCCTTCGTCATCAATTGCCTGCAGGTAGGCGCCGGCCAGGCCACCGCCCCGTCGCCCCCAGTAGACGTGCGGGCGGGGCGGGGCGGGGCGCAGGCTGAGCGGCCGCCCCCCTGCAGGTGCATGGCCAGGTGCTCTACACGGCCTCGCATGACGGCGCGCTGCGCCTCTGGGACGTGCGCGGGCTTCCGACCCCGCGCCCCG